CCCCAAAACCCCAAAACCCCAAAACCCCAAAACCCCAAAGTTTGAGTTCTCAATAGATAAGTTATTAAGATACAAATTTAAATTTAAATTAAGAAATGAATTATAACTCCCTGCAATAGTCATCATCATCATTTCAAAACTCTAACCACATGATGAAGTCAAAGTATTAGCATTTTAATTAACAATCCTAGCTAGAAAACTAATCTATACTCAGCAATAATATGAATCTTAAGCAATCCTCATATATGTATTAGTAAACTCCTCCAAATATGGAGATGACTACTGATAAGTTTAAGCCTGAAGATTAATAGTAATTCAAAAGAAAGCCGCCTATTGCTGGTGGTGCGAATAATACTGGAGGAAACATTAATTTTCACAAGGATAGTATCTACTCAATATTTGAAACTTCTAAGTCAAATAAAATCAACTCCATTAACGATATTTCTAACATATAACCAGTGACTATATCATAAAATGAACTCAATTCTCATTAGCAAGACATCGCAAATTCACAATGGAGATAAAATACTTAAAATAACTCAATCGGGGTTTCAGGTCCTCTGCTTGAATCAATCAGTGACTTTGGAAATGCTCAAGGATAAAATTAATTCTAATTCAATCAAAAGCAAGGCGTGGCTTCAAACACACAAAGATTTTCACCAGTAAGAAACTAATATAGTGTAATTTATGAGGAGGAAAATACTACCATGAATATGTAAAATTAGTCAAACATCATGAATACAAGCAATTTCCTAAAAGATTTTTAGGAGCTTAAAGACAGAAAGGAAGCATTACTCAGATCTAAGGCTCTTCTTTAAAGAAACACTAATTAACTTGATGAATTTATGATGCCTTCTCAAACTTAAACTGCTTCTATCAGTAGGCCATTAATAAACGCTACCTAAAAATCATATCAAATTACTGGTACTAATACTAACAATTAAAGTATAAGCTAATATGAACCTGTAAGAGTTTAAGAGCAAAGCTAAGTATCTTTCCCATTGAATACAAGCAATATTGGTCAGAGTCAAAATATAGCCTAAAAGAATAGCTATTACTATGATTAGAGATCAGCCTATGAGCCAGCTAAAGCCTAAAGCTAATAAAGAGTAGGAATCTATTAAGATGAAACTAGACTATAAAATTCTCCAGGAAATGAGTCTTAGGAATCTTTTGGATCACCATTTATGTCAAATTAAAAACGATCATAAAGTAACCTTAGAATTAATCAAATGGCTAGCTTATAAAAATCTACTGAAAGAAATAATGTACAATTCAACTTAGATGATTTGACTCCAAACACTCTTGAAAATAGAAGAATTGGCAACCAATTGCAAACTTAGCATCATTCTACAGTATAGAGTCAATTTGAGATTTAGGCTTAATAAAAATCGGCCTTTGATTATATGAGAAGTGATTCCCCAAATCAATCCAAGACTGTAACTCATTCTGAACTTGACTCAGAATTCGACGATCTGAAATCCGACATTGGTGGTGAAGAGAGCATCCTGAATATTAAAGATCATTTGACCAATTAGCAAACCCTAAATTTCTGGAAGAGATACTTTACTGAAAACTGTATGAATGTTAATGTTGAAAATTTTTATGAGGCTGTTCAACAAGAATTCTTTATATCAACAATACAGCCTGTAATTGACAAATAGGACTTTTAAGTTAATTAAAAAGAGTTCATTAAAGATCTCTAACTTGAAATAGTAAGAAAGGTATCAATTGATGAGTAAAAAGTTTCTCTGAATGCACTTGAATTATTCACAAGAGAAAGAGGAATTGAAAAATGCATTAATGAATGTGCTATTGAGTGTATCTTAAAGTAAAAGGCTTCAAGATCTATCTAATTGAATGATACTATTGTCTAAGAACTAATGGACGTTAAAAATATGTTAGAAGTTAAATCTAAATAAATAGAATAGCGAGAACGCGAAATCAAAATTAAGGAACAAGAACTTTAACAGTATAAGTAAAATATTATCGCATTTGTGCGTGAGGAAATCCTTGTTTAGCAAAAAGAGTCAGAGAATAAGATCAATAGAGCCTATAATGAAATCTAAAAGAAGTTTTCACAGGCAGAGAGAAATGTCCAAAATAAGATCAAGCTCTTCTAAAAGGAGAAGACTACTGATCTTAAGTAAAGCAGCTTGAAATAATCATAGGCAAAGTAGAGTTAAGGTCAAAATAGTGAGAAATTACTTAAGGCTAGGATCTAAAATTTGGAAAAATCATATGAATAAATTAAATTGAAATGCTCTATAATTGAAGAGGAAAAGCTTAAGCTAGAAGAAAACAATAAGAAACTTTCAGAAAACTTGGAAAGACATAAGATTCAAAGAAAAATTGAAAAGGAATAATATGAGAGTCTTCAAAGCTCAATCAAAGAGCAAAAAATGTCAAGGGTGGAAGTTATAGAGCAATCACCCTAGCTAATTCAGGTTCAGAGCTCTAAGAATAGCAGCGTAACAAATACAGTCCTCAGTAAATAAAGCAAGAATAATGTTGTAGACACTGATGATATAGGAGAGGACAAAATCAATAATAGAGGAGAGTAAAAATAAAATTAGTAAAAATAGGTTATAATAATTGATGATTACTCTAAGCATATGATGTAAATTCTAGCTTAAACATTTAAAACACTCAAAATTACCATCCCATTCATGATATAAAATCTAAAGGATCAGGATGATTATATGGGAGATGAAGATGAAGAAGAATATGATAGCAGAAGTATGAAGTCGCCAAACTAGTAATCGAAATCAGTTATAAAATTGATGAGAGACAATGAACCTCAAGTATAGATAGGCGAACTATTATTCCCATCCTTCAACATCATTGTACCTTAATTTACTGAATGCTTAGTACCTCACCTCAATCTTCTAAGTGGGTTTGATGCATCGATTCTAATAGGCACTCTGTTCAATATTTTGCAATTTGCATTCAAAACTTAAATTTATCAAAAGAGACTTCCAACTATCTTAAAAAATGACAAGATGCTCTTGAACAAGGATATAACTTCAATCTTACACAATTAATCTTAGTCCAAGAGCATTGAAGACAATCTAAGCAAATTGTTTAAAGATGACTCTAATAAGCATGAGCCTTGCCAATTAGATTTCTAACCATAAACTAAATCGATGTAGAAAAGAATAAAGGAAATTTAAAAACAACTGAGTTCCTTGAAAGAGAGCTTTGTTAGTGGCCCACTTCCTCTGTACTAACTCTTTAAAGACTAAACCGTTCATAAATTATTGTCAGATGATCTATTAAATCTTGTTTAGATTACTTCTCAATAAACGACTAACACTTAAAGTAATCAGCCTGCAGCATAGGGAAAGAGACAGTAATCAATAGTAAGGTAAAAAGCAGGTTAGAGTCTGAAAAACAAGGGCTCAAAGTAAATTGATACTTAGGAGGAAATTACTAATGAATTAAGACCCCAGCTTAACCTATCACTGAAAGATCAGCTTACAATAAATCTCCTGCAAATAATGATTTCCATAGATATTCAGGTTATTTAGGATAACCTTAAGTAAATCAAATTTAGCTTAAGCAACCTATCTTAAGCAGAGGACGTGGCCTCTCTGTTATTAACAGAGCTACATGCATTACCTATTCTGTCCCTTACCCTTGCCTTTCCATAACTAGTTCCAATATCAATAACAATATTCTTAGCTTTAAGTTTCTTGCAATAATAAATTGATGTGTTTGTCAACTAGATGTGTGAATAAGTAACCTTTGACATTTTCTAGTACACCATGCTTCAATAGAAAAATTCTTAAGTATTTGAAGACTATGTGGTTATTCTTTAAAAGCTTTCTTCCAAAGATCCTGCTAGCATAAGGTCAATGATGGGACACAAACTTATTGAAACTATGAATATGGAATTAGGAAAGAAAATAAATACAGAGAATGAATTCCTGATTTCAAATATCAAGTCAATTCTAAGAAATATTAAGGATGAATCGGAGTGAAAATATTAGTACAGAAATATATCTATTTTATATTGCGTAAAGCATTGGCTTATCTCTTCGAGGGGTTTTGGGGTTTTGGGGTTTTGGGGTTTTGGGG